ACAATAACATCACAGACACAGGAGCACAGCACTTGGCTGACGCCATTACAAGCAACAACTGTCAGCTACACACGTTAAACCTCTCACACAATAACATCACAGACACAGGAGCACAGCACTTGGCTGACACCATTACAAGCAACAACTGTCAGCTACGCACGTTAGACCTCAGAGACAATTACATGACAGATACAGGAGCACAGCACTTGGCTGATGCCATTACAAGCAACAACTGTCAGCTACGCACGTTAGACCTCACAGACAATAACATCACAGACACAGGAGCACAGCACTTGGCTGATGCCATTACAAACAACAACTGTCAGCTACACACGTTAAACCTCTCACACATTAACATCACAGACACAGGAGCACAGCACTTGGCTGACGCCGTTACAAACAACAACTGTCAGCTACGCTCGTTACACCTCTCAGAAAACAACATCACAGACACAGGAGCACAGCACTTGGCTGACGCCATTACAAACAACAGCTGTCAGCTACATACGTTACGCCTCTCAGACAATTACATCACAGACACAGGAGCACAACACTTGGCTGACGCCATTACAAACAACAACTGTCAGCTACGCACGTTAAACCTCTGGCGCAATAACATCACAGAAGCAGGTAAACAACATGCATTAAATTTAGTGAGCAATGGTCAGTCTAAATGTAAGCTAGAATTCTAATCTTCAGCAATTCCAATTGTAAACTGTAAAAAAATTATCTCAGCCACTTACTATTCAAATAACTGTGAGGTAACCAGCTCAGTGACAAATTACAGCTCAACAACTCAAAACAGAAATGAAAGCAAACTTCGTAAATTGTAAAGTGCTGACTGCAGCGGAATTATTTGAACCGGATCGAAATGAAGAAAAATGAACCAATGATCATGTTCCTTGAATGAAAAGGATGTCAATCTTTTTTTCTTTTATAAATGAACCAATAACATTGAAGTAAAAACACCAAGCTTACTGCAGAAAGAACAAACAAACCTCGGACCTCTCAGGAGACCAGGTTATTTGATGATTGGTTAGTTTCGATCCTAATCCACTTCATGCTCGTGTATGTTTTGATCGCCGGTGTTTGTTACAGGGAATAGTTTTGCTGTTTAAACTTTTGAAGTTCTTTTAGAGATTTTAAGCGGATCAGATGAGTAAATAACAGTACAGATTACATGGTAGGATACCAAGATTTTCTTTCTATTGCTATTTTTTTTTTTCGATTGAAGCGAACCGGTTCAAGTAGTTTCACTCGTTTAGGAAAAGTAGAAAAAAAAAAAGAATCGAAAAAAAAGGAAATGTTTCTCGCTCCGATTTTGAATGCGTCTGATTTTTCGGCATATGTGTGTGCAACAGCGGTGGGATGATCTTCCCTCTAGTTAGTTCCTACATCACAGGGGATATGTCTTCGTTCGCGTTGATGATTGAACGAACGATTCTTTTTTCACAGTGAAATTTTATCCTTCCTACTCCTATTGGTTACTTTGGTACTTAGTATGGGATAATTCTCGGTACCTATGAAATAGATGGTCACTTGGCACGTTTACACAAATCGCACAGGAGCGCAAAGATTTGACGCTCTCAGTGTAACACTTCCTTTTGTGACTTCCAGATTCTTGATGACTTGATGGACGTTGAAAGATCGTGTTCACATTTCTGAGGGCAACGCCTGACAAGTACTGAAATGCTACTGAAAGATCATGGTTGCATCAGGGACGTAACTGTTCCTGTACGGAGAAGTGTACCGGGATGACAATGTGTTGCTATATTGTTGTTGTTGTTGTTGGTTTTTTTTTTATTAGACCTCGAAGAAGCTCTAGAACTTTACTTATTAGGGGTGACAGAATTTAAAATGGAACATTGTCATCTAGATTGCCATTCTCTTACACTCCTGTCACGCGCCCTGAGTTTGTTAAATGTCGAAATAGAAATACGTTTTTTATGTTTCCAGACCTGCCACCTAAATAGAATGGTCCACTAGTTTTGTCACTGATGCGAATTAATGCAAGAAACCATATTTGTTTCGAATGGTCCAGCTAGCAACATTTCGTTAAAAAGCTGTCAATATTGGTTTCAAATTCTGTGATGTGCACTTGTATTTTGTTCAATCGAAGTTGTAGAAAGCATTCCCGTCAAGTTTCCTTTTGTCATTGATTTGATCGTGACGTGGACTTTCAATAAAGGTGTCAGTAACCCGTGGAGTGGAAACACAATGCAAAATTTAGAACTCGAATATGTTTAACCCAAGTCATTTGGGTTTACAAGTAAGTCTGCAAGACCTGCTGCAAGACTATATGTTGAATCACGAAATAATATTTCAGGAGCGTTCTGCTACAAAAACCCCAAGGGGCCTGTCAGTGATCTATCCATCATTTATCGCTGCCATTATTTCAACGGATGACCTCTGCTGCGAAGGAGACAACAGATGACCCAGCTGTGAGTGAATTACTGATTGACGTAATTTCGTTGAGGCTAGATTCAGCGGTTCAACATCTATTCTGGTCACGTTCAGTCAGAGTTGCTCAAGGTATAAAATGAAAGAACACCCTTACAAATTACAAGATCTAAACTTACAAGACCCTTACAAGATCTAAACTTGCTGTTAAGATTACGGTGAAAATTATTGTTGAACTTGCGGATAAAGTAATCTCGAAATGAAACGTGCCTGTGAACTTTCAATTGGTGAGTCTTGAAGGAAAACTTGCCGCGTTTTAGGAAATCGCGAAAAGTCTCGAGTTTTTTTTCGGTCTCACTTCGTAGGCTAAAATAGGTTAGTTGGTTTTCCGCTGAAAGGATTGTTAGAATTTTATGGCACAGAAAAACGTAACAGCCTTTAGAAAATGTTTTTGCGAGGTTATTAATTAGTTGCGCGTTTATTGTGCATGCAAACAAACAAAACCATCCCGATGAAAAAATTATCCAAGGATAGCCGGCGTACACAAACTTGAACTAAAGAGTATTTGTCCGTTCTAGGTTAGTTTTTTAAGCCAAAAAGGACCCGAGATATTATTTTTTGGCGGGAGACTGAAATAGCTAACAGTGAATTAAAACCACGAGCAAGAGCGTTATCAGTGTACCCATGGCTATGGCAAATGAACTTATCGGTGTCGCGCTTCGTTCACAAATGAACTCATGTCCGCTGACCTGGCAACATGAACACAATAGTTTTCTTTGGGTTATGCAAGTTATTAACGGCCAGTGAGTTAAATTTGTCGAATTTTTTTTTATCTATAGAGCGCAATAGCCTGTCTGATTAGCTACCCGAGCCGCGGCAAGATGGGCTTATCTTGCCGTGGCTCGGGATCGCCCGTCTTTATCACGCGCAAGGAAAAGATTGGAGTCGCAAAACACTGAGCGAACAACATAAAAAATCATTAAATGACTCTCATTGGTTTAGTGCACTACAATCTTCCGGCTCTCGAAATAAACGAATCATTCTTGATTCTTATTTTGCCATATACTCAATCTGTTTTTGACGAAGCCTGTTTGGTTCAATCGCTGGATATTAACCTTTATCTTTTTTGCGTTTTTATGGGCCTCGACGGTGACTCGTCTCAACACTCAAGGTCCGCAGTTAAAATAATTGAGAAGAATTTGCTACCTTTCTATAACATCAAGAAATGGTTAGATTTTCCAGTCTTCTCGGATAGGGACGAATAAATAGAACTCCCGTCTCCTGCAGGGTTGGGGTAGGAGACGTAAATTTCCCACACACGAGATTACTGTGTGATGGATGTCCCCCTCTAGGATGGGATGGGTGGGAAGGTGAGATTGAAATGGACTGAATCGAATAAAGCATTCACCATTCGTCTCGGTTCATTAAAACGCGAAAAAAAATAACTCGGCCAATATCCTGCAATCTCGACCTCACGCTTGGCCGTTGACGTACATGTATTTTTGCAATGTGACTCCAACAAAGAAGTCAAGCTCTTAGGCTCAGTCCATAGTCCCTACATTTCGAGCACATCACTCCAAAATCTCCTCGCGGCGTGCCAACATAATTTTTTGTTTTCAATTACTTTATTTTTCACTCGCGCCACGGACTTCGCCGATAAAATATGGGAGAGACTGCACGTAGTTCAAATTCATAGGCGTAAAAACAACGAGAATTATGATAATCACAAATCCTGAGCCGACAAAGGACACGCTGGAGTAGTTCTATTCAGTCACTGATACCTACCATGGTAAGATGAGGACATTGATCAAAACAGGGAAT